ATATGCGTGCTGCAAGAGCGGCAGCAATTCCACCTATAACTCCCCAGTTCTTCATGACTTTATATCTACAAAAGAAATAAGTTTACTGTCTTCCTTCGTCACAAACATATTACGTGGATCTAGGGATATAGATAGCTAGAATAACATTTTGTCAAAATAGCCTACCTAATACCTAACTGTCGAGTTACAGTAATCTCCAGTAACAAGAGGATGTCTTGAAAACCAGGATATTTAGACATTAGGATTTAAAATTCAAGTCAGAGGGCCAGCAGGCACCATGGTGACTGAGGAGCTGGACTCCTACACGGCTAACTGCAGTTCAAGTCCTGGGCCAGGAAGCTTGCTTTCTCCCTTTCTCTCTTTTTGCTGAGGGCATGGACCCTATAGCAAATTATTAATAATAATAATTCAAAATAAACTTAAATAATTCTTTAAAAAAATCCAAGTCAGAGAGCAAGTTTCCAAAAGTCTTGTCTCACTTGGAGGAAAAGCTGGGCTCTTCCTCCTGCTCTGCCTCTCACTGACCTGCCAACTGGGGGCTGCACTAGCCCGAGCTCTGAACTCAGAGCCTCTGCTCTGCTCAGCTGGGAATGCTCTCCCTCCAGATCACTGCATGGCTCACCAGATATGGTGTGGATCATGGTTTGATCCCCAAAATTGATTGTTTTAGAATTTGATGCTGGGAGAGGCCAGCAGATGGCATGGTGGTTAAGGGCACTGGATTCCCACATGGCCAACTATGGTTCAAGTCCCAGACCTGGCTGCTTGTTTTCTTACTTTCTCTCTCTCTGGTCAAATTAAAATAAATGAATAAATAAGTAAATAAATAAAGTTAAATAAAATAATTCTTTTTTTTATTTTGGAGAGGTTTTTGCTATAGGGACATGCGCTTGCCAGAAAGACAGAGAGACAGAAAGCGAGAAATCACCCCCACCCCCCCGGGGGGGGGAATGGCCACGCCGCAATCCCTTCTCCTCCATTCTCTTGGGATCTTGGGCATGCAAGCATATGTGCCCGGTGTGAGTTTAAGCCACTGGATCCAGGACTCGAACCACGGTCAACTACATGGGAGTCTAGTGATGTAACCATTATGCCAACTGCTGGTCCCATAAAATAATTCTTTAAAAAAAGAAAAGGATTTGATGGTGGGAGGTAATGAGGCCCAGTGGGAGGTGTCTGGTTCATAGTGATTACATAATAAGGACAACATTCTCAAGGACAGATTAATGTCTCGTGAGACCCAGGGACTGTGAGATCTCATGACAAGAGGTTTGTTCCTGTGAGAGCTCGTTGCTATAAAAGAGGGAGAGAGCTGCACCTGTCTACCTGCCATGCTGTAGGCCACCTGATGCCAGGGTACCTTCAGACTCTCTAGCTACCAGACTGAGTTATTAAACTCCTCTTTTCTCTCTCTCTCTTTTTTTTTCTTTTAGGTTTTTGCCAGAGAGCATGTGGACTTGCTAGAGAGAAACAGATACAGAGAGAGGGAAAGTGAGAAATCACCCCCCACAGGGGATGTCTACACCATAATCCCTTCTCCTCCACTCTCTTCCTGGGATACTGGGCATGCTCTCACACGGGCCCGGCATGATTTTCAAACTGTCAGGTCTGAGACTTGAACCACAGTTAGCCATGTGGGAGTCCAATTCCTTAATTGTCACACCACCTGCTGCCCCAACCCTGTTTCCTTATTAAAAATCTCTTTAAAAAAAAAAAAAAAAGACAGAGACAGAAAGAGGGAAAGTGAGAAATTCCCCCCAAGAGCGGGGTGTGGAGTGGGTGGCTACACCACAATCCCTTCTGCTCCATTCGCCTCTTAGGATTTTGGGCAGGTACACACATGTACCCAGTATGATTTTCAAGCTGCCGGGTCCGGGCCTGAAACCACAGTCGGCCACGTGGGAGTCCAACGCCTCAACCACCACACCATCTGCTTTCCCCAAAAGTCTTTTTTTTTTTTTTTTTTTTAATTGCTGGAGAATGCATGTGCTCACCAGAGACAGAAAGAAAGAGGGAGAAACACCCTGGTGAGGCATAGTCACACTGCAGTCCCTTCTCTCTCATTTCTCTATTCCATCAGGATTTGGAGCACACACACGGATGTGCACCTGATGTGTTTTTCAAGCTGCCGGGGCGTGATGGGTCATGTGGGGTCTGGCTTCCCTTTATTACTAAGCTACAGGCCAGCTTGTCCCTGTCTTCATAAAGCCCCTGATCTTGGCTATTTCTGTTAGCAATGCAAAAACAGACGAAGACTCTCCCTCGCCTCCCTTTGCTTGTCAGGAGGCCTATCTTGGAGACACTATTGGGAGCTGTATTTTTGGGCTCCTTTACCTGGAGGTACCATAACACCGCATAAAATTCACTTTCATGCTATGTGCTCCCTGTCTCTCTACTAAAATTTAAAATTCCTGAGGGTAGGGTTTTTTTTTTTTTTTCTTTTTTCTTTTGAGAGGTTTTCACTTTAAGGTACATGTGCTAGCTAGAAACACAGAAAGCAAGTAATCACCCCTGAGGGAGGATGGCCATGCCACAATCTCTTCTCATCTATTCTCTCAGGATTTGGGGTACATATGCACTTGTGCCCAATGTGAGTTTTTTTTTTTTTTTTTCTTTCCCTTTGGAGAGGATTTTTGCTATAAGGGGCACGCGCTCGCCAGAAAGACAGAGAGACGGAAAGCGAGAAATCATCCCCTGGGGGACGGCCACACAGCAATCCCTTCTCCTCTGTTCTCCTCTTGGGATCTTGGGCATGTACGCACACACGTCCAGCATGAGTTTAAGTCACCGGATCCGGTACTCTAACCATGGTTGACTACATGGGAGTCCAGAATATAGCCATTACGCCAACTGCTGGTCCCAACGCCTAGTGTGAGTGTCAAGCCACCTATCCAGACTCAAACCACAGTTGACCATGTGAGAGTTCAAGTGCCTTAACCACTTCACCACCTGCTGGCCCCAGGGGATCTTTGTTTTACTCAGTGACATAATCCCAAATGTCTAGACCATGCCTAGCACATCATAGGTTCTCAACAATGTTTACTGATCAAATGAAAAGTAAATACTGGAGGGACCAGCAGTTAGCATAATGGCTATGTCGCTGAACTCCCATGTAGTCGACTGCGGTTCAAGTCCCGGACCCAGTGGCTTAAACTCACGCCGGGCGAGTGTGCGTGTGTGCCCAAGATCCCGAGAGGAGAATGGAGGAGAATGGATTGCAGCGTGGACACCCCCCCCGGGGTG